CTTTAATGCGGGTGAGAGTTCCTACTCTGAATCCTCAGATGATATTTACAACACCTTCATACCTAATCCCTACAAGAATGAAGTATAACGAATAGTGGAAGAGGTAAGTGACGTCATAGTTATGCTATTGATCATCAGATAAAGGCTATCTAGAACACAAAGGATTTAGTTGAAGGATATAATTACAGACATCATATTGGAAGTTGAACACTGAAAACAAAACCAAGAAGAAAACAAGATACCCGTCTTCAAATCACTAACAAAACCAAGCCATATCGGTCTGTCCAGTCAAAATACTATGAGTCAAATAGACAATGTCGAGAAATCTAATGTGAAGGCCAGATCAATCTCGAAGGAAGGAATGTTGGAAAAAAAGTCTTTACTAAGGTAAAGAAGAAGCATGACGCTGAACTAAACAATTTTTTCAAAATTTTTCAAGTTTGAATAGGGTGAAGTATTCCTCGACATAAAGCGAGAATCAAAGATAATGGGAATTTGGGAAGGAGTCAGCAATTATTCCACAATATACACATTATTGAGATGACTTCTGTTGATTTAGCAACATCACTTAGAAACATATATATTTGGTAGCCCGAAGTGTAGTACCACAACTTTCAAGCGACAAGACTTTAGGTCCATTATCAAGATCACGCTACGGAGTGAACCAGAATCCAACAATTCCCACACGAGCTTCTATATCGATTTTCCTATCAGATGTGGGCACCCACCATTCACACAATCATACACTGTTATCTGTTGAGTTGGCAATAATACTAAAGAACTTATCCCAATTTAAGTCCATCCTCGGGGGTCAGCTTTTGCAGCAATTTTCCTATCAGATCAGTCGTTCAGGCACATTACCGATACGTTATCTGTTGTGATAGCAACAGCACCGAAAGACTTATCGTGACATAAGTTGGGACTATAGTTTACATCAGGTCTTCAACCAACATTTACATAACGCGATTTGGGGTAGCAACCATCAGGTGCACCATGAAGGGAAATCATCAACAGCCAGGCAATTGGCTACTCTTGTTTAAGGCTCTGTCAGACCAGAGGTACTGGCAGTAACCCTTTTCTCAGGGATTGCAGGTGGAGGAAAATAGCAACGGCAGCATAAGTCTTATCGAGATATACGTTGGGACTATAGCCTACATCAGGTCTTTAACCAACATTCGCTTCCAGCGATTTGGCTTGCAGTCACCTGAGGACCACAGACCTTTAGTTTAAGATTCCAAACAAGAATCCTAAAATCTTCTGATCTCTTTTTGCACCGATTTTCTTTTCACATCAGTGCGCATAGCATTAGCGAAGGAACATTACCGACACGTCAACTTCTTAGTTAGCAACCACAAGATGCATTTTAGGATATGATCCCCTAACAACTGACTGCTCAGGTACGAATTAGACCAAGTTGGAGGAAGATTCAACAAGACAACAGGCCCCGTAGAGTTTATAGATACAAGATAATGAATAAGGAATGAACAAGAATCCATAGATTTCTCTGATTTTACCGGTTTTCCTATCAGATCATTGCTCCCATGGGTCACGCAGGCACATCATCGATACATTATCTATTGATGTTGACAATAGCCAACATCAGGCCTTTAAATCTCAGTTGCCGAGATTTGGGTAGCAACCAACAACCTCCTCGTGCATCCCAAAGACTTCAGTAAACATCATTAAGATGCTATTCTAGTCAGACCACAAGTTTATTGAACTCAAGCTTCGGTTTTTGGCTGAGGAGCCAATTGACTACTATAGTTTAGGGTATTTTCAGACCCTGCAAGACTGCAATAAGACCAAGGTGGAGGAACATTTAAATTACCAATGCTTTGATGCATTACAAACATCATAGCAAACTAAAGAGATCGTCCCGACTAGGAAAGCTAAAATATTTGGGAAAATATTCTAAAAGGGGTCAAATTATGTACCCGTCGCACAGTGGGAGAAATGGTCAATCTGGTGGATCTTTATATCTTTATAAATAGTGATCTGATCTATTAGAAATGTTCAGTGAAATTATAGCCAAGGACATGGTCTTTAAAAAAAAATTTTTTTGGGACATGCCACTTTCGTACAGGGTGCGCCATAAAGTGTTGTATCGGTCACCCTCGGTTGTTCATATATTTAATAGTAGTAATATGTTTATAATTTTTGTATTTCATTCGATTTGAACACTTTTTGAAAACGATATCATGTTTTAGACATTTTAAGTTATATTTATTGATATTTGGACTTATACCCTACAGTCAGTATGCACCGAAACTATTACTATTTTTTATTTTATTTTTGTATTTTAATATTTAAAACGTGGTTTATTTTTTATTTTTAAAGCATTTACGTTAAATTCTACGTTAATTCCTAAATATTAAGGCAATTTAATGGTGTACAATTTATTTTTTGAAAAAGGCCATATATGGGGACTAGGGTCAAACATAGGCCAATCTTCATTAAATTTGGTGGGGGTATTTATGTTTATATTAAAGTTATTTTTTCTAAATATAATCGATACACTAGTATTTATATGGGAAATATGGATATTTAAGTCATTTTATGAAGGGACTTTGTATGGGGGGGTAGGGTCAAATATGGTCCGATCATTATGGAAATGGACAATGTTATTTAGGCTTATATATAATTTATTTGTAACGACTTTTGTAGAGATACTAGCGTCTTTAAAAAAATTATGAGCTAAAAACCATATTCTAGATGTCCGTTTGTATGGGGGCTAGGTAAAATAATGGGCCGATTTGAACAATTCTCAATAGACTTCATCCTTCAGCAGAATAGTGTCATGTATGGCTGTTAAAAGTTTTTTTGTTGGTACTGGTTCACTGTACCAAATGAAAAAAGTGTGCGTTTTTTCATTTGGAACACTCATTAAAAAACGTGATAAGTCAAAAAGTTGCAAAAAGTTGCAGCTAATTTTCTTACTTGACATAGAAAACAGACCAAAAAAACTAATAAACTAAACGATAGAGCGAATCTTGTCGAATCCACCCAACTTTTATTCAACAGAAGATTATGTTACACATAATAAAACACTCTCCTACAAAGGTCATTTTGTGTACCACAATTCAGAACTAACCCGTACAAGCAGAGGCCACAAACGAATTTTTTCCCTTAATAGATTCCCAATAATTTCAATTAAACCACTAATCCAAATAAAAAAATCTAAACTTAAGATTTTATGTGTAATCAAACTTAAACTGTAAAAAAGTGAAAAAATAATGAATTCAATTGCTAAAAAATATGCAAAGTTTGAAAGCTCACTAATGTGTGAATATTGCGAGTAAAATGAAATAAAAAAAATCAAAAATCACTTGGTTTCTTAGTTACCAGAAAATTAAAAAAAAAAATTCAGAATTCTCAAATTTAAAATTTCCTTAAAGCGACACCAAATTGGCCATTTCTCCCACTGTGCGTCGGCTTCGTGAGAAAAGTATATAGAAGTTTTTTTTGTTCCATTTATGATTTCTAAGTTGAGAATTCTTATAAATATTAAAGGCGATTTAACAATGTCTTTCAGTCTGTCTGTCGGTCTGTCTGTCTGTCTGTCTGTCTGTCTGTCTGTCTATCTGTCAGTCCGTCTGTCAGTCCGTCTGTCTGTTAGTCCGTCTGTCTGTCTGTCTGTCTGTCTGTCCGTTTGTATGTTGAAATCAGTTTTCTCAAGGCACAACAAACCTTCAGAATGTAATATTTAGTTTATTCCATCAGCCATGCTTACGCTAAGCATATCAAAACAAAGATATATTGAAGACTTTTCATTTAATTTTGTGTAACATCTACATTAAAGAAAAAAAAAAAAACTAAATTTTCCAATAATTGTAAAGTAATTACATAGATGTAGGGTGCATTCTACAAATAACATTGTTTTATGTTTTGAAAATGAAATACATTAGTCTTTTGAGGACACAATGTAAGACTTAATTATGTTCTTCAAATGTTTAGTTAAAACGGAAATTAACATTTATAACACATTATTATTATTATGTGTGAAGCAGACAAAAGTTGCATAAAACATTTTCACAAACTTTACAATAGTACTAAAGGCAACCAGCACATAATTTACTTTCAATTCAAAAATTAAATAAATAAATTAACAAATGAAACTATAACAGTAAAAATTTATATTAAAACTATAACTTTATGAGATTTTAATTTTATTTATAAAAAGAAATAGAAAATCATCTTGTTGATTTAAACATAAATTTCCCACAACAAGTTTGTTACTTAAGTCTTCAACATACACACACGACAACAACAGCAAGCATCGTGTATTTGTCTTAAGTCTTTTGATTTACTTAAAGAGATTCACTTTTATTTGTGTGATATGTTGTTGCTGTTGTTGTTTTTGTTAGTTTGAAATAATTTGTGTGTAAAAATTAACATAAAATAACATTAAATCATTTGTTATCTTTAAGAATAACCCACATAATATTAACAATGAAGGAAAATATTATAAAAAAACACTTGCACGTACTCAAACACTTTCTAAGAACTAAGTATGTATAACCAAATAAAGATATTTTCAAAATGAATATTGAAAATAATTGAATTTAAAAGAAAACCCACATAAATTTCATTAAAGTTTCATTAATTTTATTTATTGTCTGGTTTAAGACAAACCCAAATCATTTAAATTTCCATTGACGCATAAACAAAATTGAAGATGTATCATTACTTGCAACTGACAACTAAGCGTTGGTAGACAGAAAAGGCGTTATTTGTCATCAAGAGTCGAAACAAAAGATTTCAAGTACTTTGAATACACATCAACAATGAAATTTATAAAAATGACAAACTTATTGTAATTGATAAAATCTTTTCTTATTCTCCAGAAAAAATCCTCATAAAAGAAACAACCTACACTTTTGGAATTTTTAAAATTTCAACTTTCTTTAAAATCTTTGTTAAAAAAAAAACTATGTCAAGAGGGTATTATTGGTTATTGCTTTACATATACATGTATTAATTAAATTATAATTATTAATCACCTGTTGCTGTTAAGTAAATATATTCCAAATATCAGCTTTTTTTAACACCTTTCCCACACACTTTTTTCCAATAATTTAAAGAAACAAATTTCTTTTTTTTAATATTTTCCCTTTAAACTTAAATTGCACATTTAAATTTCTATATCCGCAGCACGTTTTTTTAATAATTTTTATAAATAAATTTTAATTTTTTCTTTGAAAAAAAAAGTTCTTCTATTAACGTATTTGGTTGTTGGTTAAAACTGATTTCCGTTTATTATTAAGTTGTTTTATATTTTTCCGTTTTTGGCAAACGACACAAATATTTTGTTGGCTTTTTTCAATAAATTTACATACTACCACTCTTGTCTTCCAATATGTTTTTCTTTCTTTAATTTTTAACAATTTCCATTCAATTGATTCGTATTTTAAATTTTTTAACGCTCAAAAATTAAGTTTACAAAAAATTTTCAAACGCGTTGGCGCGTAACCGCTGTCACACAACCGTTAATTATAAAGTTTGTTTTAAAACTGATTTTGTTAATAAACTCAACTGCTCACTTTAGTCGAGATTTTGTTGTTTACAACCTGTTTGTGCTACATAGGTTTGAAACGAACATGTTGTATTGGTGTTTGAGTTGCTGGTTGACTTGTGATTTTGTTTGATCTGCATAAATGAGTTATAAAGAGGTTTTTAAAGTAAAAAAATAATTTCGTTGTCGCGTGCCCATGGAAAATTGCTGTGATTTTTTTTCTTTTTGGTTGAACAAATTTAAATTTGCAAGTTTTAGAAATAATAAGGGTATTCACGGTCTCTAGACTGGACTATTGACAAGTTTTATTATTGATAGTCGAAATTATAGAATTGTCTCTAGTCTGGACTATAGAACTATCTATACTCTGGACTATAGAACTATCTATAGTCTGGACTATAGAACTGTCTATAGTACGGACTATAGAACTGTCTATAGTCTGGACTATAGAACTGTCTATAGTCCAGACTATAGAACTGTCTATAGTCTGGACTATAGAACTGTCTATAGTCTGGACTATAGAACTGTTTATAGTCTGGACTATAGAACTGTCTATAGTCTGGACTATAGAACTGTCTATAGTCTGGATTATAGAACTGTCTATAGTCTGGACTATAGAACTGTCTATAGTGTGGACTATAGAACTGTTTATAGTCTGGACTATGAAACTGTCTATAGTCTGGACTATAGAACTATAGTCTGAAATATAGAACTGTCTATAGTCTGGACTATAGAACTGTCTATAGTCTGGACTATAGAACAGTCTATAGTCTGGACTATAGAACAGTCTAATGACTGGACTATAGAACAGTCTATAGTCTGGACTATAGAACAGTCTATAGTCTGGACTATAGAACAGTTTATAGTCTAAACTATAGAACAGTCTATAGTATGGACTATAGAACAGTCTATAGTCTGGACTATAGAACAGTCTATAGTCTGGACTATAGAACAGTCTATAGTCTGGACTATAGAACAGTCTATAGTCTGGACTATAGAACAGTCTATAGTCTGGACTATAGAACAGTCTATAGTCTGGACTATAGAACAGTCTATAGTCTGGACTATAGAATAGTCTATAGTCTGGGCTATAGAACAGTCTATAGTCTGAGCTATAGAACTATATATAGTCTGGACTATAGAACTGTCTATAGTATGGAATATAGAACTAACCATAGTCTGGTCTATAGAACTAACCATAGTCTGGTCTATAGAACTAGCTATAGTCTGGACTATAGAACTGACTATAGTCTGGACTATATAACTGTCTACAGTGTGGACTAAAGAACCGTCTATAGTCTGGAATATAGAACTTTCTACAGTCTGGACTATAGAACTATCTATAGTCTGGACTATAGAACAGTCTACAGTCTGGACTATAGAACAGTCTATAATCTGGACTATAGAACAGTCTATAATCTGGACTATAGAACAGTCTATAGTCTGGACTATAGAACAGTCTTTAGTCTGGACTATAGAACAGTCTATAGTCTGGACTATAGAACAGTCTATAGTCTGGACTATAGAACAGTCTATAATCTGGACTATAGAACAGTCTATAGTCTGGACTATAGAACAGTCTATAGTCTGGACTATAGAACAGTCTATAGTCTGGACTATAGAACAGTCTATAGTCTGGACTATAGAACAGTCTATAGTCTGGACTATAGAACAGTCTATAGTCTGGACTATAGAACAGTCTATAGTCTGGACTATAGAACAGTCTATAGTCTGGACTATAGAACAGTCTATAGTCTGGATTATAGAACAGTCTATAGTCTGGACTATAGAACAGTCTATAGTCTGGACTATAGAACAGTCTATAGTCTGGACTATAGAACAGTCTATAGTCTGGACTATAGAACAGTCTATAGTCTGGACTATAGAACAGTATATAGTCTGGACTATAGAACAGTCTATAGTCTGGACTATAGACATTTCTGTAATCAGGATTATAAATAATTCTATAGTCTGGACTATATAGTCTATAGTTTAGTCTATAGTCTAGTCTATAGTCTAGTCATAGTCATAGTCTAGTCTATAGTCTACTCTATATTCTAGTCTAGTCTATAGTCTAGTCTATAGTCTAGCCTATAGTCCAGCCTATAGTCTAGTCTATAGTCTAGTCTATAGTCTAGTCTATAGTCTAGTCTGTAGTCTAGTCTATAGTCTAGTCTATAGTCTAGTCTATAGCCTAGTCTATAGTCTAGTCTATAGTCTAGTCTATAGTCTAGTCTATAGTCTAGTCTATAGTTTAGTCTATAGTTTAGTCTATAGTCTAGTCTATAGTCTAGTCTATAGTCTAGTCTATAGTCTAGTCTATAGTCTAGTCTGTAGTCTAGTCTAGTCTAGTCTATAGTCTAGTCTATAGTCTAGTCTATAGTCTAGTCTATAGTCTAGTCTATAGTCTAGTCTATAGTCTAGTCTATAGTCTAGTCTATAGTCAGTCTATAGTCTAGTCTATAGTCTAGTCTATAGTCTAGTCTATAGTCTAGTCTATAGTCTAGTCTATAGTCTAGTCTATAGTCTAGTCTTTGGTCAAGTCTGTAGTCTAGTCTATAGTCTAGTCTATAGTCTAGTCTTTGGTCAAGTCTGTAGTCTAAGTATGTTCAAGCCAGTCTACAGTTGAGACAACAGATCTGTTTACAGTCGAGTCTATAGAATTGTCTATAGTCAGACTATAGAATTACATATATCTATATTCCAGACTGTAGAACTGCAGGACCTATACAGATAATGTTTTCGATTGTTTTCTTTTTATTCACATTCTGTTATCCTTCGTAAAATTTTCGCCGCATAAATGATTTGCAGCATAACAGAGAAACTCTGATCGGGCAGTAAATGATATGGTACTTAGAGCAGTTCCACATTCGAAGGGTGTCTTATGCTCGAGAAGTTATGTTAAGAAGTTGTTCCGTTTTTATTATAAAGAATCATTTGCAGAGAAGGGAAGTCTAATCAGGTCAATACATTACCTAACTTGTTTAATATTTTAAATTTATTGAGTAAAATTTTTCACCTGAATTCCCCTATTATTTTCACTTGCAACCATTTTCACTATTAATTTATATGCTTTTGCTATTAACTCATTGTTGCAGATGTTGAAATTTTAAATTATTCAAATAGATGGCATTATTTACTTCATTAGATCATAAATTGTTTTGAAACAAGTATTTAAATTTGTAGTTTGATGCAATTAATTTTTGTGGTTCATTGTATTTTCGTTAAATGATTAAGTAACCGTTACATATCTGAGAAATAAACATACATAGATATGTAATCTATATCTCCCTCTAATCATCCATTATCCGAAAATCATACAACTGCATACTTCATATATTTAGTGGAGTATGTCAGGTCATGTTCAAGCACTAAATTAAATAATTTCTTACATAAATATGTATCTTTTAAGTAATATTATATGTATCTATTATGTATTATTAGAATAATTTAGACATCAAAAGTTCGCGAATAAACTTAATTATTTATTCCCCTTTCAAGTCGTTTCCTTTTCCTCGAGTGTCAATAGCATAGTGATATAAGAGCCAGCAGTTTTGAAAACCTAAAAAAAGTAGGGATATCTAGTTGCATTAGTACAATTATAAGTATTGAATACCCTACAGACGTATTAAGATACATATTTATGATGCATTATTGTGGGTCTTTGGAAACCCTATTTACTATATACTACTCACCCATAAAAATAAACTTAAATCGGCCTCAAAAAACACTCCTGTCACATTACAAGGTTTCTGAGCTCTCATTAAAGACAAAAGTAATAACTTTTTGGTTTTTATACTCAAATCATGCCATTTGAAAGAATCATAAATGAAAACAGACACCGAAGTGCTCTAGATAAATAAATAATTAGAATATTCCATTAATAATTCTTAATAATACTATTTACCTCATCTTTAATCCTTTGTCCACCATTGCAATACAATATCAACTGCAAGGCAACCGATATCAAAAAGAATAAATGAAATAACTGGGCTGACAGTTCACGTCCCCGGGCAAATTGATAGGCCAGAAATGCTATTTGTATAAAACTAATGGTGAATTTTATGAAAACTATAATCTTATAGACATCATTAAAATTTTCCGCCAACTCAATAACACGACGATGATGTTTTATACGATCAACCATTAGCTGGCGAAATTCTTCTTCATCTCCCCAATGACGAACCGTATTGGCATCGGTTTTAAAGTGTAATTTGAGAATCCGAAATTGTGCCACCACATTGTGCATCAACCAAGAGTATAACGAATCAATGGCGAGATTTCCATTGATTAAAAAATAAATACCGGATATATTCCAAAGATATGCAATAGCATAACCCAAATGGGTATTGGTGTCTAGAAAGTAACTGTAACGATAATGAAAATGTAATTGAAATAATTTTACTGCAATATATTTAAACTTACATTGCTTTAAGTGGAGGATCCAAATTCTCCCGAAACCCTTTTCCCTTTAGATGATAGAAAATTGCTATAACAAATGGCGAAACTGCAGCCAAAACACCGGTTGTAAAAACAACTATATAGTAAACCGTGGAAAATTTTGTATCTATACAATTCTCCTCATATAATATTTTCAATTCTTCATCAGTGGCTGAAAAAAATAAAACAATAATTTACAGTACTCGATTTGTGCAACTACCTCAGGCATGACTACATTTTCAATTACAATTACATTTGAAGTAATTAGTATAGAAGCTTTACCAATTACATGTAATTGTAATTGGTTATTGCACAATTACACATACAAGTAATTGTAATTGACCAAGACAGAGTGGTTTTCTTTTTTTTTAATTAAGATTTGTCTCAATATAGTGAAGAACTGCGAAGAGATTTTATACTTCACCAAATTTATTCACATTTCTTAATCTATTAATGACCATTGCTTAAACAAAATTAGCCCAATCTGCGTAAGTCCACATTAAACTATAGAGACGTAGAAGTCGGAGGGTTACTGAGCCAGAGATCTTTACTATTTTTATGTTCAAGAAGTGCGTCCTCGTTAATATAGTTCAATTTGAAACAAAAATCTAAATTTTTTACTTAAAATTTTTAAGATAATTTGATGAAATTTCTCACATACTAATTTTTTGCCTCAAGGTGCTAAGCGAAATAATGTATCCATTTCAACCATTTTCTATAGGCTTCGTCGTTGTGCCGAAAAACACGCTTGGTCCACATTTTATCAAAAGTTTACATGGACAGCGGGCTAGACGGATGTCTCAAACGACTCAGAAAGTGATTTTGAGTTAATATATTTAGTTCTCAGTAGATCGGTATACTTTAAGAGTTAGTTAGTTAGTTAGTAGTTAGTTAGTTAGTTAGTTAGTTAGTTAGTTAGTTAGTTAGTTAGTTAGTTAGTTAGTTAGTTAGTTAGTTAGTTAGTAGTAGTTAGTTAGTAGTTAGTTAGTTAGTAGTTAGTTAGTTAGTTAGTTAGTTAGTAGTAGTTAGTTAGTTAGTTAGTAGTTAGTTAGTTAGTTAGTTAGTTAGTTAGTTAGTTAGTTAGTTAGTTAGTTAGTTAGTTAGTTAGTTAGTAGTTAGTTAGTTAGTTAGTTAGTTATTAGTTAGTTAGTTAGTAGTTAGTTAGTTAGTTAGTTAGTTTAGTTAGTTAGTTAGTAGTTAGTTAGTAGTTAGTAGTTAGTTAGTTAGTTAGTTAGTTAGTTAGTTAGTTAGTTAGTTAGTAGTTAGTTAGTTAGTTAGTTAGTTAGTAGTTAGTAGTTAGTTAGTTAGTTAGTTAAGTTAGTTAGTTAGTTAGTTAGTTAGTTAGTTAGTTAGTTAGTTAGTTAGTTAGTTAGTTAGTTAGTTAGTTAGTTGTTAGTTAGTTAGTAGTTAGTTCGTTAGTTAGTTAGTTAGTTAGTTAGTTAGTAGTTAGTTAGTTAGTTAGTTAGTTAGTTAGTTAGTTAGTTAGTTAGTTAGTTTAGTAGTTAGTTAGTTAGTTAGTTATGTTCACTTCCAATTACCTTTCACATTCAACAGCCATATTTTACGCACCAATTTGACAATTTTTTCCTTATTCCAAATAAAATACATTAATTTCATTATAGACAAAATTGCTTGCCAAATGGGCGATAAAGCATCTGTCACTAGTTTCAAATCGGTTATATATTGACTGGCATAGATGACAATGGGAAAACAGAGAAACAGCAGAGACATCATTGGCCCCCAAGCTATACACGAACTGACAATTGTTCTTTCCAATGAGGTGGGATCAATACCCACAGCGGCAAAACTGAAATATTGTACGACAAAATAACGCTTAATTCCTTCCTGATTGGGTACAGCATCTGGAGCTGGTTTAAAATACATTGTTTTTCTGACGAAATTTTTTTAACTTTTACTGCCGAAAGTGTCCAGTCTAATAACTTTATTAAGCTAATATTAATTAAATTTCATCCCTTTTCTGATTGAAATGAAAACATTTACAAAACATTGACGTTTTGTATTACAGTACAATATCGGTATAATGAAAAGGTAATATACTATAGCTATAGGGAGAATCCATGTGAAAGCGGACAGCAGTCGGATTTACCATCTCCGATTTTAATGAAACTTACCACACACATAATATATATAATATGTTCCACATATCATTGACTTTTTGAATGGAATCTCATTCCAATGTAAAAATATCTCGATTTGAAAATTGAAAAATATGTTAAAATTTCCTAAAAGTACATACACATAACTGTCCATAACTCTGAAACTACTTAAAGTCCAACATAATTTTTGATTTCATATTAAAGCCAAAGATATTGTCTTTAAAATCGTGTAAACAGAATATTTCACTTCCAAAAGGTTAAAGGTCAATTTTCATAGTGTATAATTCAATGTCAAATAGGTCAGACAGCCCCGTGTTAAACATTATAAAAATACATGGTATGAGGATACCTAAGCTCTCTTCTATATTCTAGTGAAAACTTTTCGATGGAGACTCGTGTAGTTCAAGAATTATTAACCAAAACGTAATTTAAAACCAGTTTTTTTATACAAAATCGTATGAAAAATTAAACAAACAGAAAAAATACACATTAGAATCATTTTCAATTTATATGGTAAATTACATTGTATCTCATTAACCACTGGTCCTATTTAAATGAAATGTGCAAGAAAATTATGAAGGACGATCAGGCTTTACTGGAGGTATCCTTTGTCATAACAATATTAAAATAAAAGGTGGAAAACAGTGTTTAAGAAGTTAACTCTTCGACTTCAAAAATTATTTTAAAGCTTCTATCATCTATAAATGAGATCAAATTTAACTGATCATAAAATTTTCGTAATCTATACAATACAGTAAAGCTAGATCCATATTGCAATACTAATTAAATTTAAGGGTTTAAGAGATATAATTTAAATAAAGTAGTGGACAAAAGTTAAACAATTAAACTAAAATAATTTTTCAATTTTACTTATAACTTAGTACTACCATTAAGTTTTATAATACCCGTAATGTCTACTATAAGAAAAATTCAACTTCAGCCAAATCGGTCCTTATTTGCAGATTTGTGAAGCTTTAATATTTTTTATAATCGAAGTACTCTCATTTAACACCACGTACCTCACCTTGTATTTTAACAGGGCGCTAACAATGTAAATTTTCAGTAAGGTTAAATCGTTCTTAATAATTTTCTTGTACATTTTATTTAAATTGGTCCTGCAGTTTAAGAGATACATAGCATTTTCCATATAAATTGAATTGATTCCACTTTGTATTTTTTTCTGTTTGTTTAATTTTTCATACGATTTTGTATAAAAAAACTTGCTTTAAATTACGTTTTGGTTAATAACTCCTGAACTACACGAGTCTCCATCGAAAAAAATTCACTAAAATATAGAAGAGAGTATAGGTATCCTCATACCATGTCCTTTTATAATTTTTAATATGGGGCTGTCTGGTATATTTGGCATTGAACAATACACTATAAAAATTAACCCTTAACCTTTTGGAAGTAAAATATTTTATTTGCACGATCTTAAAGACAATATCTTTGGCTTTATAACGAAATCAAAAATTATCCTGTACTTAAAGGAATTTCAAAGTTATGGGCAATTATATGTATATACTTTTAGACATTTTTAACATATTTTAAAATTTTCAAAACGCGAAATTTTTGGTCTGGAACGGGATTCCGATCAAAAAGTCATTGATGTGAAGAACACTTTCAAACCATATTATGTGTGGGAAATTTCATTAAAATCGGAGATGTTAAATCCGAAAATTGCTGTTTTCTGTCCGTTTTGATATGGATTCACCCTATAACGAAAAATTTCTGAACCATTAAACCTCTATACAACGATATCAGAATATATCAAAATCAAATTTAAATCAGAATCAGTTCCGCTACAAAAACAAAATGGAAATCCTCTATAAATACGGCAAGATATTCATTCAAAAGCCTCTTTATAATGAAGTCATACATACATATATATAGTACATATATATTTATATATATGTATGTGTGTATCTATAACGAATAAGTTGCTATAGGGAAATATTTTGCGATCCCCTTCAGATTCGTTTTATAGAAGTTTGTCTGTGTATTGTATAATTATAGACATATGTATGTACATATGTATGTAAATACCGTAATTTATTTTAATTACACATACATATGTACGTGTGTTACATTGTACAATTAAATGTTTAAATATTATTTAAGGAAATACTTAATTATGTTTTCCTTTTTACAGGACATTTTAAAATTCATACAAAAAATAAATTAATTAAAATATCCCAGCAAAAAATAGGTAATGACTTTCAATTGTATCCTCTTACCTATTAACATAGTTTTCAATGACTACTACATATCGTATTGATTACATAGAATTAGTCTAATAACGTCTTATAAATAATGTGTTACATATGTAAATACTTTCTAATTCATTAGTCGTCTTCTCTGTGAACCTACAGAAGCTGTAAACGTTTTTTGACACGATTTACATTTTCTAACGTGTTTAATTACTTGTAAGTGATTGTGGTAAGTACTTGGCTACAATGACATCACCAAGATGAAGTAATCACTTAAAATGCTATTGTTTAAGTAAATATTACTTGGTAATCCAAGTTTTTCCTGGGATATGTACATTTTATTTATACATATATATTACGTATCAGTTGTAATTCAGTTCTGAGTTGGGGAACAACTATTTGGTCATCGCCATTATTTTTTAAGGACGGTCAGGCTTGTGTTTGTTGTCAAACTTTCGTCAGAGTTCCTTCTAATGAAAACTATTTTTTTCATTAAACGCGTGCTTTCGATTTACCTCCGAATGAAGTTATTTGTTTAACTGGTGGATACCATATAATAATCACGATATAACCTGATGGAGAAGACTATTTAAACTCAAATCAAACACCATTAAAACTCTTAAAATTAATATTGGTAGTGATCAAGGATAAAACTCTGTTCGGTGCACTAACTTCCTATATAAAGGTATAGATCGTTTGGTGGGGTTTCTCCGACAACTTTGACATCAATATGAACATTTGGAAAAAAATTGGCTATAGTGGGCGTGGCACCTCCCATATAAAGAAAATATTAAATTCGTATATCTGAGAAAATATACCAACTAAAGTCCTCAAATTAAGTCGGAGCCACTTCAATATCAATATTTAAAACATAAATGGGCGGATTAGCAGTAGGGGGCGTGGCACCATCCATACGAATTAAATACAATATTCGTATATCTGGAAAACTATTAGAGTTAGAATACTGGAACACGAACATATGTATGTATATTGGGGTCCAGCAAAATTGGGAGTGGTAGTTTCCATAAACCTGAACAAATACAGGTTATAGTATATATGCGTTCTAAAACAAGTTGTGAAGCTAAGTAATACAATGTTCCTGTAATTAAAACACCAAAAATACACATAAATATTTGTAACCCTCTTATTAGCGTACTCCTTAAAACATTTCAACCCTTTTATATTTGTTGTCTTATTACACTATGCGACAAATTGAAGGTCATGTTCTGGGGGCTTGAAAATTCCATTTTGACATTTAACTTTTAATCTTTAAAACTATTATTAGTTATAATATTTTAACCAACAAAGTTAATAAGCAATTTCTTTAAATCTTTTCAGATTTGGGTCAAATAAATCCGCTTGATATATAACTTATTAAAATAAAATATTTTAAGTTTCCATGGATTTCAGCATGGTAAACATAGAACCAGATGTTTTTAAAACCTAAAATTAAGAAAAATATTTAATTGAAACAAGATACTTGTAAACTTAATACTAACCCATAAAAATAAAGGTAAATCGGCCACAAAGAAAACCCCCGTTAAAATACAAGGTTTTTGGGCTCTCATCATGATTAAAAGCAATAACTTTTTAGATTTGATGCTCATATCGTGCCATTGGAAATACTCATAAATGCAGACTGCTACGGAGGTACTCTTTGAACAATGGAATATAAAACTATTATTCTTCAATAATATATTATAACAAACTTACTCCATCTATTATCTTCTGACCCCCAAGACAATACATCATCAACTGTATGGAAACTGCTATTAAAAACAATATATGAAATACCAATGTTGCCAGTTCGCCGCCTCGAGCAATTTGAAATATCAAGCAAGCAATTTGCAAAAAGCTAATGGTATATTTAAAGAATACCGTCACCATGAATACATCATTGCATTTATTGGCTAATGCTATAATACGATGGTGATATTTAATGTGTTCTATAATAGATCTAATGAATTCGGGCTCATCATCCGGTTTCCTTAAAGAATTTGCTGTCTTTTTGAAGCGCAAATTTAAAATGCGAAATTGTGCCGTTACATTGTGGACAATCCAGGAAAATAATGCATCATTTGCTATTGTACCATTTAGAATATAACAAACTGATATTATATTCCAAATATAGACTAAAATATAACCATTGTATGATTTTGGATCCATGGCAATGTAATATCTAAAGAGAAAAGAGAGGAATAGAGACAGGTCATTAAATGTAAAGGCCCCATAACATTCAAAAATCTTACAGCTACAACGTTGATTTCAGGCATTACATTTTGGATCTAAGGTCTCATATAGTGGTCAGATTCAAAAGACGATCTGATAGAAACTAAATAGATTAAGCAGGACAATAAAATTCCAAATACTAACTTAACCACAGAGACGAACCACCACCACCCTTTTTGACTTGCAAGAACCCTCAGCAGGTAGCAGTAGATTTCGTTCTAATATCTAATCTCTGAACTTTGCAGTCCCGTCGCTCAATATCTGGCAATATCTGAAACATTCCTTGACGACAATTCACAACCACACAGCCTAAGGAATGGCGTCTGTAGATTCGGTAACAGTATCTAGAATCTAGTATGTAGT